TTTTTCTCCATCGGAGCTCACCAGAGAGGTAAATTGTCATTTTCTCGCAAATGAGCTTGGATAACTAACATTTTTCTCTTTCTTGGAACTGGGAAATTATTTTCTTTCTGTCAAACAACTATAAACCAATTCTTGGTATAGGGAAAGGTAAAAATTTCAGAAATGCTAATCTACAAATTCGCACAAATGTAATTGTCATGATATCATAGGAATAATATGGATATCTAGAAGGTCCTGCTGCTCATAAAAGAGCATAGGACCTCCCATTTTTCATTTCAAATTTTACTTTCACTTAAGATCTACAGCCAACATGTACAGTTTGACAACAATCTCAGTGTGTGTTTTACGGAAGGGCTTTGAGTCTTCAATGTATTTTATCAATTGCTCTGTATTTTTTTCTTTTACAGAAGCGGATTGGCATTGTTATAAGTTAGAATGGCAGCAAGCACTTTCAGAGACATTCGAGGTAATCCACTAAATATCAATATTAATCTTCCAAAGATAAGTGAGTGTTGCCCGTTATTTAAAAATAGGAGCCAAGTTCCTAGTGAAGACGATTTAGAGTGGCTTTCGCACCGACTCGAAAAATGGAAGACATTCGGGCATCTTCTCAAAATTGAGGAAGCAAGATTAACGGCGTTTGACGATAAAAATGTGGAATACTCTGAAAAAATTTTCAAAATGTTACTACATCGGAGAGAGAGATTGGAGAGAGAGGAATGGCTCAGCTGCAACATACACGGTCCTACATGATGCACTGTGTCACCCATTGGCTAATGACACAGTTTTAGCTGAGCAACCTGGGGCATATTCGAATTTACCCCAATTTATCACTGGTTATATATCACTAATCTTGCAATTCAATGATCTTGCACCTTCAACCTCATCTTCCCGCCCCCTGCCTTTATAAACTAAGAATGCATGGATCCAGCAGAATGGCATGAATAGATGCAACACGTACTACTCGCTATCCCCTCATCTTGATGCTTTTCTCTGATGTTTTTATGTTTTTAGTCAAGCAAGGAGTTCCCAGTGACGAAGAATTAGAGTGGCTTTCGCACCAACTCGAAAATTGGGAGGAACTCGGGCGTCATCTCAAAATTGAGCAGGCAACATTAACGGCGTTTGACGATGACTATGGGAGAAAGCGTAAAAAAATCTACAAAATGTTACAACATTGGAAACAGAAGGATGGCTCAGATGCAACATACATGGTCCTACATGATGCACTGTGTCATCAGTTTGTTAATCGCGCAGATTTAGCTGAGAAACTTTGCCGTCAATAGCATGAGTGAATTTTTATTTTATTGACTCACAGACAGCTTTTATCTCTATTTTTACTAATTATTCCACTGCCAAATGAACAAGCATCCCCAGTATGGTTACACTATTACCATGTGAATTACTAAATCAGTTATCTTCCTTTTCCTCACGGGATCGTTTTTCTGTCTCTTACACACATGCATCTTTCTATTCTTTTAATGAAAAACGTTAAGTGTTAAAGAATATTGCTAGTTAAGACCCATCCATAACTTTTCGTGCAACTCTATTGACTACTTGACGTCACGCGGTACAAAATCACCGGACAAAACCACCATTTACGTCCATATTTGTAACCCGATCATTTCCGTCGAAAAGAAACCAAAACAGCGGGAAAAAGCCAGCTCCAGAGTTTCACTTTTTTATCTTTCTTATTGTAAATGTGAGAAAAACGAAGTTATTTTGAAGAGTTCACTTGTAGTGATATTAAAAAGCTGATCACAAA